TAGCAGTAATTCTGGTGAACAAGATTTAAAATGAACTAGCTAGCAGAGTTTTGGAAAACAGTGCTAAATATCTTCCAGATGTTTTCAGATACAAACTCTTTTATTATATTCTCAGCTATCAAAATTTAGTCATTACAAGATTTTTTTTAAAAATTATAGTTAGTCTCTTAAAGTTTGTAAACACCAATATTGTATTCTCCATAGTCCTGGTATCCTTCTAAGACTTTAATATAGTTCACATAGTGACAAGAATTCTATCTTTAGTCACAGTGGTATAATCCTGTTGTCTTCACATACTCTTTTCCCCAATTTATACAACGGTTGTCTCACAGCCTTTTTAGGTGCACTGACAACACAGCCTAAAACCACCATATCAGCTGCTACAAAAATAATACTCTCAATCAGTGGAGTGTCAAGTGGAAGCTGCCTAGCCTCAAACAAAAGATGAAATAAACCAATCATGCCTGTATAGGCAATACCTTCAGAGAAACCCCAAACCAACATTTTATGACACTTTCTACATCAACAAGATACACATCTGAGTAGGCTAAAATGGGGGAAAGCTTTAAGTTAATGACTATCTGTGTAGGCAGCCTTCTTAGTTATAGTCTCTTTGGTTGAGATTCCCTACAGAACTTAAATTAGACCATTAGATTTGACAGTAGACTATTGTGCTCCTTAACTTTTAGATAGTTGCTTTCTACAGGAGCATGCATAGCCCAAAGTTATTCCAATTCCTTCTTTGTTGCACAGGATCCATCATGAGCCTCAGGATGGGCACTTGCATCAAGGAGCAGCCTAATGAAGTCGGTATAAAACAGTGGGGACAGATGTGTCCTACCCCTCTCTGATTATAGCACATTAGCACTGCAATGAACCACATGCCTCCATCTCAATGTGCTCATGCACACCTTCTCTAAAGACTGTTTAATCAAAATTCTCATCAGAGATCAGAACTAAAATCCCACACAAGTGCCCAAATAATTCAGACAGTCAGTCTCTCATTACATAAAATATGACAGCTCTGAAAGAAGTTTGAGAGCTCCCTCTGAAGACAAGCTCTTCCCTGGGCCTAGGGAGAACATCTCAGGCAAAATCTGAAATTGTACCATGTTGTCCAAACACGACACTATGCAACAGTTATCACCAGCATCACTGGCTTGAATGAAGATGTCTAGCACTGTATTTTGTGGGGGACGCAAGCCAGTGGACACATTCTGAGAAGCCTTTGCCAGCCAGAGCCTTCCAGGAGAAACAGGAGAGACAGCTGCATTGCAAATCCCAGCAGGTAGCCTGCAACATCAAATAGCCCTTAAATTGCACAGCAGTCTCAAGACTTAGGTGTGCCCAAGCATAATGAGAAGCATGATTTACATAACTGGGGAAGATTAACATTTAAAGCTGAGGTACTAGGAGTAAAGAGTAGCTGAACTGAGTCCATGAACTGAGTCCATGTTTTTAAATGGAACTCATAAGTTTCACATTCAAAAACTGTTGACGAATCATGGAAATCTGTCACTTTCACTAACAATGTCTGCATCTCATTCCTCAACCAAGGCATTTTAAGGATTTTTCAGGATTTTTTCAGTCATAAAAGTGAATTTTTCATTTCTGCAGATTGGCTGAACCTCAGGAAGGCGGACAATAAGAAGGGCAGATAGAGGGAAAGCAATCATGTTCCCTCAGGAAGGCTCTATCTCAGAGGAGAAATCTTATCAACCACTCCTTGTTTGCCTGCTACATAGCAGGCAAAGGAGCAACTGCAATCACCACTGTCCTGGCAGCAGGCTGCAGAAAACTCTTAGCTTTTTTCCATGTTTGAGGCTGAAAGATGAGCTGTGACTTTCAGAAGAGGAGAATTCTCTTCCTGAGGCAAGCATTTTACCCAAAGTGCCTATAAAATTTAAAAACAATGCTCTCAGTTTTATAGTGCGTCATTCTGAGGAAACCCGCTTGCTGCAAGAGCCTCTTCCTTTCTTTAGTTATCATATAAATAAAAACCTTCATTTCATCTGGAAGATACTTAACCACTTTCCATGCCGTTCTCAATTATAAATGAGAATGGGCCAAACCAGAACCCCCACAACACTGCTCAAATGATCTTTTTCCATTATAATTGATGTTTTAGATCACTTTATAACTGCCTAAGCTATAAATTCATGCCCATTATTTGTAATAAGTGCTGGTCTCATTTAAGTATGTTGGCTGTATTCCCAGAATAATGCTTTTGGAAGGGAATCTGTTCATACTGGGAGAAGTGAGGGAGAATGAGAGATGACCTACAACCCTAAAAATCTCATTAATAATTAATTGTAGCAGGAGAAGATGGAAACCTTCTCCATAGTTAATCAGGGTTTCATCCTTTTAAAAACATTATACAGACATGCACACAAGGATTCCTTCTACACCTCAAAACAGCTCAGCCCAGACCAGGCTGTTTGTCAGTCCAGGGGCTGGCAAAGTGTAGATCTGCAGCACAGCTGAGCTGCTCAGTGCAGGGAGTGCAGAACAGGCAGCCACTGGGGTGGTGGAAGGTCTCAAGGGATAGCTTTGCATCCTGAGAAAAAGTAACACAAGTGTATGTCCTCACTGTGTCTAGGTCATTACAATGGATGGCCTGCTTCTGCAGAGCCTGTAAAGGGGTCTGTACGTTCCGTGCTCCATCTGTGCACAGTGCCAGACCCAACAGCAGAGCGCTGCCTGCATCCTTCCTCATTGGAAGTGTTATCTTGGTTACCTGATGGGCTCTGAAAATACATTGGAGGATGTGCTGCTTCTCTGGCACAAAGATACCCGGCTAGATAAACAGCTTACTCACCTCAACTGCCCTACTGGAATGGCTCTGAGGCTCCTTTCTGCTCCAGGTAGCTGCTTGCGTATACTTGGGCTTCTTGAGAGCAGCCCCCTCCCATGCTTCACCCGCAGCAGCCACTACTTTTTTTCCTGCACTTCTTAAGCTGCTGGGAAGGGCAGGGGAAGAGGCAAGGGAACTGGGGTGAGATGTTGGGCTCTCGTCCTACTAGGAGAGATGGGTAAAACAGAAGAGATAGGCTGGTGACAAGGAGGCAAGGGAGTGCCCTGGGTAGGACCATGTCCTGAAGAAGCATGTGGAGGGGACAGGGTGGGAATGGTGTCAAGGAAGACTTGGGTAAGGATTGCAAGGGCAGCTGCCACTGCTGTTGCTGGGAGGGGTCACCCCTGCCTAAATATCCTGCTATAGATTGCAGCAGTGACAGCAGAGTTGGAAAGCGGGTGAGCAAGAGGCTCACCTGGACTAGGCAGGACCTCCAGCCTGCCACACTCCATGGGCTGACAGTAGATGCCTAATCCACCAAAGCCTTCCAGCCAGGACTGCTCATGAGCATGCGGCCGGGTACCATATGTGCTGTAGGCAAGAGGATGAAGGTAGCAGACAGGCTCAGCAATGGAAGGGCAGGGCTGGCAGCTGGGCAGTAATCCTGGCTTGAACTGCCTGGGTGAGTAGGTAGGTGGCTGCAGCCTGCTAGTTTCTGTGGGGGTGCCAAGCAGCTGAGTCACAAATGGTTGGGTTTGTTGCCATTGTTAGCCGAGGTAAAACCTAAGCAAATAATCAAGGAGATTTGCAGTTATTAATGTCCAGTTTTTACTACAGTTGAAATCATGTAAGGGTAAAACTCTATTTGTACAGCAAATATAAATCTCTCAGTTCCAAATTCTCTTGTGCTTGGCTGGCAAACAGTGTTCCTCTGGTCTAGGTTATTTGCCTTTGAAATTTATAAAGGTTTTTTTTCCCATGGGAAAAAGCAAAAAGTAAACTTTTACTAGGTAACTGCAATTAATCCCCAAATGGCATCGTCATAGACCTCTTAATTTCCTGGATTACCACATGGATTTCAGTTGTATAGAATAGAAGATTATCTCCCTGACACGGCAGTGAACGAGTGTGATGGTCTGGGAGGAAGGATATGAAGGTCAACAGGAGTGCACTTTTTTCCTTTCTTCTTCTAGTCTATTCCCTGATCAGAAAAAGCTAGAAAACACAGAAACCATGACTTGGGTCTTAGTGATGGCTCCTCTCTCTGTCCTTCCCTTCTCTCCAACACCATCTGCTGTCTGCCATCCTTCCCAGGGCACCATAAGCTCTTAGCAGGCTCTGCCTAGACTGTAGGCTGGGTTACCTATTTACATTATCTTCAGTTCCTTTATGTTTTTGCTGTGTTGCCAACATTTCTCTGAGGAATACAAGAGAAAGAAAATCATGGTTTGCAGCAGTTCATGTTGTAGAAAAATCTAATTAAATTTTAAGGGATGCAGGCAGCTTCCTTACACTGAAGACTTTCCCCTTCAGAATTGCAGAGGCATATTGCAAGTAACAAAAGGGCTAAAACTTAAAAATACACCAAAGAAAAAAAGCAAACAAAAAATTGCCACAAGAATGTTTTATGCCAGAAATCATTAGATAACTGCAATTGAAAGGCCATTACCAACTCCCACTATAATAAAAGACATTATAATTGCAGGCTGAACAACTGGGGTGACAGTTTCTACATAATATATTTGTCTCCCATGACACATCTTGGCACTACTGTTTACTAATGTAGGTGATAATCATACAATGAATAACTGGATTGATAAGAGTATATTGAGAAGTGCTGGTAAAAATAGCTAAAAGAACAATGCACATTATATCTTTAGTGGAATCCTTGAAAACAAACAGGAAGTACTCTCCTTAAAAATTCCTAAAATTATAACATAAAGATAGCCATAGTATTTAGAGATATTTGTTCTCATCACGAATTCCAAGTTTCACATTTTTCTTGCAAGAGCAGGAATTTATCCTAGTGAGCAAACCAAGCTACACAGGTAATTAGATATTGGGTGAAAGGTAGGTATATCTCAGTATTGCATATACCTATATCTGTCATGTTAGAAGACATACCAGTTTTAAAGTAATGCTTTTTCTGGATATCCGCCAATTCCTCTTATAATTTTATTTTTTTTCCCTTCTTTTACTATTTCAGTTATTCGGGTGTTTCCTAGCCTGGGAGACACGGAATGTCAGCATTCCTGCTTTGAATGACAGCAAGTACATTGGCATGAGCGTGTACAACGTGGGGATTATGTGCATCATTGGTGCTGCTGTTTCCTTCCTCACTCGGGACCAGCCCAACGTCCAGTTCTGCATCGTCGCTTTAGTCATTATTTTCTGCAGCACCATTACACTCTGCCTTGTGTTTGTACCTAAGGTAGGGGAATTTGTTTAGCATGGATTTTTTCCTTGTGTTTTGTAATTGTTATGTAATATGTAAAAGTTCATTGTGTTTTCAAGTGCAGGGGATGTGTGTGAATTCTAAACCAAGCCCATCTATAACCTTTCTGGATCCTGAGAGGAAGAACAAGGCTTCATAACATTTTTTTGAGAAAGTAGAATATGCAAAGTTACAGGAGTGTGAAAACACATGTTTCTGTTGCCTGTACCTTTACTGAATCTGTGACTGGGGAAGCAAAGCTTGTTTTCTGTAATTTTAATAGAATAGTCTCCATTTTGAACTTCTGGGAACTTTTTGGAAAGGGTAGTAAGTGGGGATTCAAGAGACAGGTCCAGTTGTCTACTCTGCCATGTTTCTAAGGTACTTTAAGCAATATGATCAAGATCTCTGCTTCTGTACCAAGAAAACAGTAAGACCTTTTTAATTCACTGGCATGCTGTAAGGTTAACTATGTTGAAAGCTCTAAGGTGTTCAGGTGTGCCAGTACATGTATGCTGCAAATGCTGACATTAAAGATAGGTTAATTAACAGATATATTAATGGACTAAGCGAGGTACAGACTGGGAGGCGTATGCTTTCATTTCTTTTTGCACTGTTGAGCTCTGAGAATATGTTTGTTGTGCATTGTTGGAAGAACTGACAGGGCACTTACCCACAGAGGGCTGGAACTTGATCATTTCATTTGATCATTTCACCTTAAGTGACTTGCATGAACCTAGCTAATCACCCCAAATCAGATGCCTATGCAGTTGGATGTCTGAAACATCTGCAAGGCAAGAGACAAGATGCAGGTCCTTTCACCTCTGGAATCTGGTTTTAAGGTTTTCCAAATAAGCAGTGATAAAAAGTTTGGGACGCTTTACTGGTCTATGTTCAATCACCATATTGAGCAAATTATAGTAAATAGGTTCTGGTGCTAAGTGGCATCCCTGGTAATGGCTCTAACAAGGGGACTAAGAACTATATGTGTAAAAGGAACAAACTAATAAATTTGTGTCAGAGTGTTCCCTCTGAAACAAATTGGAGGCACAGACTAGCAATAGAAGCTGACTTCTGATCTGGAAAAAAATGCATGTTCTCCATGACCAACTAACCAGGATATCTTCACAAGTTCTGCAACTCACTTCTCAAATATTAAAAAGCTGTACAAACATATATAGTCATATTTTTATTCCGGATCTTAGAGAATAGTCACAGCTTCATTCTAAATTAAGGGAACATTTACAAACACAGCAATGGAGAGTACTTCAACATACTGCAAGATTTAAGTGTGTAAGCTGTATGAACATGCATATTAAACCTCTGATGCCAAAAATACCTCCACAGAATGTCATAACTCTCTTCAAAGAGAAAATATTAATGTTGTGACATGCTCTTCTGCCCCTTTGCTTTCATGCTCCTTTGCCCATCCTTCTTTTCTGCTGCCACAGGCACTTAAATGACTTTTCTGTTTCCTTTCTTAACCCCTTCATCTGTCGTTCTTTTAAACCTCAATTACCCTGTCCTCATTTTTCCTCTCAGTTCTTTCTACTCAAAATACAAACATGAACCATAGCCTTCTAGCATGAGGTGCTTCATCTCATTCCACGTATTGCCAGGTTTCCGAATGCTTAGCTAGTTTGCATTAAAAATGGTCACTGGATAAGGCACAAAAAAAAAGAGACTGAGTCAGGAGCTGGAATGCAGCACTTCCAATGCCCATGGGAGGGCTTTCACAGCTGGAGAGTTCCTCTTCTAGCACTCATGTATTTTGCCCTACATTTCTTCTCACTGTGCTGTGCCACAGTTAGAGCAGGATGGCTGGCAAGCCTGCTCTCCTGCAACCTGCACCAGCACAGGTTCCACAACAGCCTCTCTGGACCTCACAGACAATTAGATCTGACACAATCCAGTTTATATATCTAGGTAAGATGTCAGCGTGAGACAAGCTCTAAATCTTTCCCCTTTTCAAGTATGTAGTACAATTTTGGTGATGTAGGAAGCTTGCCAGTAAAATACTGAAGCCTGTGCCTCATCAAAGAGATTATAATGAAGACTTGGAAGATGACACTTTTTCATTTATTAAACTGACAGATGGAAGCAGTAACATCGTTTTGGACCAGGTGAATACTTCAACTGTGCCATACAGGGTAAAACACATTCATTGTAACTAATCTTCAGCAGTCTCCTGGGCCAACAGTGCTGGAATTCAAATTTGAGCCACAGCCTTTTTACAAACCTGAATAGGCAACTATTCAATGATGTTAGCAAACTAGGGAATGAAATGACATTTTCCCCTTTTTTATTGTCAGTTCTACTAATCTGATTTACTTATAACATGGCAATTACTCTACTTCTCCACTTAAATGTCCACCTCATCCACTGCCATTTCATTCAGCACCAAATGCCCAGAAAAGCATGAGGGAAATCCCTTATTAGAGTAAGGTAGATCAAGGAAAAAATGTTTGTCAATCTCTCCATTTAAATGTATCCTCAAATACAAATGTTGATATCCATTATGCTGTCTCCTACTTACCATAACTGTAGATATTCTTGTTATCTGATCAAAAAATGTCTAAGCATTTTAAAAACATTATTATATATTTCTGGGTTCAAAGATAACTTGTGGAAGTGATCTGAAGTATTCAAACATATATTATATGTATTTTTCCGGTTAGAAGTTTACTGCTATGTCTGAATATCATTTTAAGGGCCAGCATGTCCACAGTATTTTTCCACACAATCATCACTTCTTTAAAAGAAAAAATGCTAATATGTATTCTGTCCTCATGAAGTAATTTCCCCATGTTTATCCATGTTTATGGAATTTCCATGTCCTTCCATTTTTTCTGCTCCATCCCTTCTGAAACAGAACACTGTGCTCACTTCTAGTCACCAGCGAAGTGCATACCATCGTTGGCTGCAATGGCAATAACAGATAAATTCTGATCCAGTTTCCTGTAGAGCAGCAAAGCAGAATCAGTCCTAGTGGGCCAGGATTAAAACATCAGTATTCTGTGTTGGTAGCATTTTTTGTCTATTTAGCATTGACTCATTGTAGATATTTAGCATTGACTCTTTGTCAAAATTGAAACTGCATAGATATGAGGCAGCAAGACATGAGTTCCACTGACTTTATGGACAGAAAAGAAAAGGAAAAAGTGCAGCTAACTTTATGCCTTGCACAGAGCAAACAACATTGCCCATGGACTTCTCCATCTAATCCACATCATGTGAATTAATTCATTAGAGCATGTCTCCTTGTGGTAAAACATCCAGTCTTTAGCTGTAAATTCCCAGATGAAGATGAGTAAATTCATAGATGGCTATACTTCTATCTTATATTTGGTTTGAACTTAGATCATATCAAATTGCAGAGCTTTTAATTTGTAACACTTTTGTCCGCTAATTTAAGAAACCTTGTAATTAACATTCTTGACCTTTAACTTCAGTTTAATGCAGCTTTTGGTATGGGAGTTAGACACAGTCATTACAACCCGCCTAATTAGAAGCAAAGACGTGGGGGAGAGGCAGGAACCTCTAGAAAGACTCAGGTTACTCAGGGCCTTGAGCAGTTTGGTCTTGATTATCTCCAGGGATGAATAGTCCCCAGCCTCTCTGAGCATCTATACCAGTGTTTGACCAGGCCAACAGTAGAAATTTATTTTTCTGATACTTAAATGAGATTTCCTGGTTTTCCATTTGTGCCTCGCTTCTTTGCATTGGGCACCACTGAAAAGCATCTGATTCCATCCTCTTTTTTCAGACAGCTCAACACCTTTGGATTTATAATGCCATGCCTATGCTCTCAGGGCAGGGAGCTCCTTCAGCTTTGTCTCTGTACAAATATATGTGTATGCTGCTTGGCAAGTAATCATAAATTCTGTATTCTCTAGAGTAATCTGAGATGTTCTCCCCCTTGCCAAACAGCTAGTAGCTTTCTCTCCTCAAGTCGAGGTGATATTTTTCACGTTGTCACTGAGTGTTAAATCTTACTTATATTTGCTTAAATTAAATATGTTTAAGGTTAACTTTTTTTTTAAAGTGGCTTATTTAATTTATTTGAACAGATTTGTTTTATTTTAGGTCACTAAAACCTAATTAGTTTTTTTTTTTTTTATCTCCATAGTGCAATCTCCCATGAGTTCTTTCTGTTAATACTCTCATTTCATGCCTTTCTCTGCTTGAGTGTTATTTAGAACAGTAGGAAAGGAGAAATTTCAGATTAAATTTTTCTCAGGAAGAGAAGGGCTTGGTGGGTTCTTTTTGTGTTAAAGAAGGAATATGTCTTTTGAAAGCATGACAAGATCAATGAAGAAGAAAAAGATGTTTGATGAAATATTAAAATGTTTCAATGTAATTAAACACCAGTTAAATATATTTTAAATTAGTTTTTTTCTATTTTTTTTTAACACTTGCCTTTGCAAAATCATTTTAGTTCAACCTATTTTGTAAAGTTATTCAGAAATCGCCTCCAATACTGTACTTGGCAAGCAGAGCTCACTTTCCAGAATTTTGTACTTGAAAGTCAGAAAGGAACTTTTGGTTTACCTTTCAATATTTTGAGATACAAAAGAAATAGCTTCAAAAATAAAACATTGGACAGGATTTCTGAAGGCTTTTAAACCTTTCAGCTCATCACACTGAGAACGAACCCAGATGCAGCCACACAGAACAGACGGTTTCAGTTCACTCAAAATCAAAAGAAAGAAGATTCAAAAACATCAACATCAGTCACCAGTGTCAATCAGGCCAGCACATCTCGACTAGAAGGCTTGCAGTCAGAGAACCACCGCTTGAGAATGAAAATTACAGAGGTATTGTTTACTGCATATATTGCCTAAGCAATTTTGTAATCTGTAATCTTAAATGTTGACTACTTTTTAGAGGGGAAAAATTAGCTTTCCCTATAGAAAAAAAGTGTTGAAACAATAGGAAACAGATTATTTGTATGGATAGCTAATTAATACAGCAAATACTTAGCAGGTGTGGTAAAATGAAAATGTGCCTTAACAAATTAAAATGAAGCTTCCCCTATTCATTTGTAACAGGCAAATTAGCCTGCTGCTTTTCACGGAGGTGCTGAGCACCACAGAGCAACATCTCTCAAAGCACAACCTTTACATGCAAGCCTCACAGAGACCCGCAGCCCCAGGGGCACTGAAGAGTTATCTTTGTTCCTGTTTATGGCTGGGTTCAGAGGCTGCTGGTGCTGTCATTTCTCAGCCTCTCTGAGAATTCGTTCACAAACTTGCTAGACCGATTTTTACATCTGCCATGAAACAGAATTACGTATTTTCTAAAGGTAGAAAAGACCTTTACAATCATGTAAGCTGACCCTTTGGCACAGAGGCTGTGAAGTTTTTTTCAGTCTCTACTGAGAGAAAGCTAAGTACATGGAGTGCCTCAATTCCATTAGAGCTATAACATGTATATTTTTAGTTACGTTCATCCTTGCTCAGGAGACCTCAAAAGATGACAAATCAGCCTTGGAGACTGCCCATTTTGTGAGACAAGATAGCCGTAACTGATCTGTATCTTACAGAAAATTAACCTATTTATTAGGTTATTGTCTAATCTGTGAAGCGCTTTTATACCTTGAGGAAGAGGTATTTTATTGCAACTGTTACTTCTTCATCCAGATCTGAACTAACTGCTGCCATAGTTCAGTTATATTCTCCTGTATCTTCCATAATTTGATTGACTCAAGAAAGCGGTGCCACGTTTTTACGTATCAGTAGTAAATAGTGGAGAGGTTTTCATGCCTAATTCTTTCTCATTCAGCAGTACATCTGAATTGCTTAAACTGTCAGCTGCTAAAGCTTATTCTTCTCATACGCCCTGTGTGCAATACCACAGCTGGACACGGTCTGTTACTTGTGGCATGATTTTTAGAGATAGCGTAGTGCTATGAGAAAAGTTTATTTGGCACAGTGTGGCACTTTCGTTGCCACCTGCCTTCTAGTCTCATCACAGAAAGCGATGCAGTTACTGCAGGTATCTGAAACAAGGACTCTTGAATTTTTAGAGATTCATACTCTTTCTGTTTTGCAGCTCGACAAAGACTTGGAAGAGGTTACAATGCAGCTTCAGGACACGCCTGAGAAAACAACATACATTAAGCAGAACCACTATCAGGATCTTAATGACATTCTTAGTATACGGAACTTCACAGACAGCAAAGGTGAGAGTAAAATGTATTAGTAGCTTAACCCACCAAGATTTTGAACAGCAATCTCATTGGATTGGTTCCAGAGCACTCAAACCTTGAGAAGACAAAACTGTAAATATTTTTTACAAAAATAAAAAAAGAAAGCATGTAGATTCCTATAGTAAGCTATGCAGTACCCAGTGTGTAGTTATTTCTCTGTATGTATGTCTTCTGTTGTGTGCCCTATGTGTAGAATACACATGGTAAAATGGGAAACTTTTAAAAACATACTTGTTTCCAGAAGTCAAGTTTTCTGTGCTGCTTGGAGGGAGGAAAATCGCAGAATGCTTCAGATCTTGTGAGAGATAATTGTGCCAGCCTTCAGCGGTAGGAAGCCTGGTTTAATATGTGCTCAGCTGAGTAGGACATGCAAATCTTGCTTTTGGACACTGCTATCAAGCACATCGAAGAAAAGCACGTAAATATTTCAGTGCCGATTTCGACTCTAATTGTACAATTGAAGGCACTCATGTATGAAAAGTCTTCCCTAGGAACTGATAAAACAGGATTTCATGACGACTGTAATATTCCTAAGTTGTTTCTACTGTGTCTCTTGCATTGCTCCCTGAAGAAATAGATGCAAAAGAATTGCTTCCATTAAAGCTGTTTCTCTTTTGGGAAGCAATAAGATCTGGTGCATAGTGCAATAAAGAGGAAGGCAGGACACACTGCTTCCATTTCTGACTCTAGAATGGATCTTCTTTGTGACTTTTGGCAAATGACTTCATACAACTGAATATTACTGGAGTATAGGAAAAACTAGCTGGCCTGTCTTGATAGGTCGTGGACTTGCATGTTTGTTGCAATGCTACACTCGGGTTTCCTACTGATGTGGCAGCATAAGCTTGGTTAAATGGAACAGAAGCTACTCCTGTAAATATATTTGTTGAAGAATAATTTCAGAACAGCAACAGTTCACATAGGCTTTTGAAGTACATTGAAATTTCGGTTGGACAAGGTTACCTTTTCACAAGGTCACAAGGCTACCTTTTGGTTTAGCTTGGGTATACAGTCAGTTGTGTAACTTGTGGCAAAAAGGAAAGGAAGAGCTCTGTAGAGTTGCTAGTGTCCTTTTTAAAATTAAAAAAAAAAAAAAAAAAAAAAAACCCAGAAGAGAGGAAAAGGAAAACGTAAATAGCTGCTGGAGGCGTGTGATTATTGGGCTGAGATCAGCAGCAAGAACTAACATCAGTGAGTGGGATGAGACAGTTTTACCAAGTGTTTGAAAGAAACACATAGAATGTTCCACTCATGTCAGATGCTCCAGGAAAAATGATAAATCATGAATAATGTTTCAAGCAGAAAAGATATATTACATTGTGCCAAATGCCCGTCTGAGTTTCGGTATGAGAAACAAAAATAATTCTCAAGAGATACACTGGGTATAAATTTAGGATGGGATGCTCCCCACAGCAGGTTGCACTCCATTAGCAGTAAGATGCTGGCAAAGAAATCGAGGTGAAAATATAACCTTTTTGCACTTACTTGTGGCTATATCTACAAAAGACATCAATGTCTAACTGCTGCTTTAAGCAGCAACATCTAAGATTGTCTGTGTTCCTAATTTTCTCCCAGTACAGTTCCCCAACTTCTACCTTTCTGCTGCAGGGTACATATTTAAAATCACCTGTAGGTATAGAGCCTTAGTGTACAGAATACCTTGGAACTGTGTTATCAGGATTTACAGGGTAGATGTTCTTCTGCATGCTGAAGTTGCTGGACGCAGTTTTCTGAATGCACTTACCACATAAAGCTTCACACAAAAGAGGCAAAGGGGGGAAAGAAGGATGTTTTCCCTTGGCCATCTTTATATTGAATAGGTTAGAGCATCCATTCACCTGGGAATGAGGAAGGCCTGGATGCCAGTTTGGAGCAGGTGTTTGAAGCTTGGTCCCACACTTGGTGGTGAATGCCCCAAGCACCAAGTATTATGGAATATCCTGATCCTGACTTGTGTGACATCAAATATTCATACTTCTGGGCTCTGAGCCACCATGTTCAACAACCCTTGCTAGCCTTTTTTGTGTCTCCATTTACGTGTCTTCTGTCTCTTGTTTTCTCTCATTCCCCATTTCCCTGTCCCTTAGCTACATGTCTGAATTCCCTCTCTATTTCTCTCACCGCATCCATTCCCGATAGTCAACCTATGTGCTTAATTTAAATTTGCCATTCCAATCAAAATAACAGGGCTTTGGAGAATTCACACTGCTGAGTCACTGCTGCTTCTGTGCAGATGCAAACAGACATCACTTAAATGGTACTTAAAAAAATTCTAGCCCTTATAGCTACAGGAAAGCTAACTCTGACTGACACAACTATGCTTTCTGTAGCTATGTATTCCATGTAACTTTCTGTAAAGGAAAGTACAGAACCTTGAAATTATGCATCCCTGATGGTACTTGAGCAAAGCTTCAAAACTGTAAATAATTTACTAGCATGACCTAGAAGTGACCATGTGTCTTACCTCCACCATAAAACTGGGGAAGCCAGTGCAATGACATTTTTAAGGTGATGACAAGGTTTGTACCTACCTCGGACGTTGTAACAGACTGTGAGCTGAAAGAGAGGCAGTAGGACAGTGAAAAGAGATGCTAAAAATAACAGCTGACTTGGAGCTAAAAATCATAGCAAATCATTTGCCACATTTGTATTGTGGACCTGGCTGAATCCCGTGTCAATCTTCTTTCTAAGATACCTTGCTATTCTGAAGGAGTTCAGCTAGAGAACGCCATGTAGTGTGTCCTTGTTGCTATTGCTTACACAAATGCAGGGCACTGCACTTCAGAGAACAGATAATAACACAGGACTTACACAATGCATCTCGAACAAATCCTAATCAAACTTTAATTCATAGTATAGTCCAGTAGGTTTCTGATCTGTAAAAATTGGCCAGAGTGAAAATCCAGATTCCTATAGCCAAGTGCCAAAGGAGGTTATTTGTTTCTTCCCTTCCTTCCTCACTATCAAATACAAATTTGGGATACAAAAATTGAATTATTTTAGCCAAAATAGGTAGGCACAGCTGTGCACCCCTGTAACACCCTGACCTCAGGCAAAGTTTCTTAACTCTGGGATTCCTGCTTAGTTATTAATAGCAGCAGCTTCTGGTGTAGCCCAGGATCTCTTTGCTGGCACAGGGACTCCTTTATAGCACATTTCAGTACATCTCATTTAAAGAGAGTTATTATCCAAGACACTAATCTCTTGTTCACAAACATGTAATGTCCCTGAGACATCTACAGCGATTGGCTATGTAAGAGAAGCAATTAGGAAGATGTGTTTTGTAGTTTATGGTTTGATTGCTTTTTTTTAACGCAGGCTTTTGTCTGTGCTGCTAGATAGCTTTGTATGGTCAAGCAGTTCTCAACGTGCTCCATGGGCTGTGGCTCTGAGACCTCAAATGGCTTCCCTATTAGAAATTAAAAGGGCATCCCTTTAACTTCATGTGATACATTCCTCAGATGATTTTGACTCACTGTGCCTGCTCGTGGCCTCAGCTCTGTGCACAGTGCAGCATTAGCTCCTCCCCCAGCATCTGTGGGACCTGGTCACCTTGCTGGAGCAGGAAAGCAGCATTACAGCCTGGGTTTGAGGCAGGGGTAGGCTGTGGGTGAGACTCATGCTTGGCTTGGACAGTTCCTGTAACTGGCAGCGCCGTTCATCAAGGAGAGCCAAAGCTTGGAGACATAGCTGAGTTTTCAGGGTGACATTTGGAAAAAGGAGGACAAATGTTTGTAACTGTGATGCTGTGTAAAGAAGGTTGTCCACACAGCTCCAGGGAAGAAGTACTCTGTCAAGGGCAGAAACCAGAGCTTCCCTGCACCATAAACAGCAGAGAGTTCATGAAGATTGAAGTAATTTCTAGTGTGCAAGTTCCTGCAGAGATAAAAGTTGCTAAGGAGAAAAACACAGAGGGAAGATACTGTGTGGTTTGGGAGAGGTTCAGATAATCTTACTATCTTATTCTGACTTCTGTTTGACATTTTATTCCATGAAATTATTTCTCCATGAATGATTCATAGATTTCAAGAGTTTCATATAAAGACAAGCTCAGAAGAAATCCTGCAGAAGATTCTCCATTTATTTCTACCTTTGCCAGGGCACTTCAGAGTAGTGTATTAGGGAAATTAATGAATGACAGCCATCCTATGGAAGGTACGTAAGAAGCAAGAGACAGCCTTGGAATAGTCCCCATTATGAACAAACCCTTTTTGCAAGTTCTCTCTCTGCAGGCACCTGTGCTTGCTCAGACAGCTTTTTCTGTTTAGAGCCAGAAAACAGGCTTTACTCATTGCTGTAAACGGACTGGGAGCATTCATTTGCATGTCAGATATGCCTACATACTGTCACTTGTCACCCCACTCCAGTGTTTCCTAGTGTTAGCTTTTCCCAGTGTAAAAGCAGCTCAAAGAAAAACAGATTTCAAAGGCATGTTGCTTATAAATGCAAAGCAAAACAGAGTTCATCTGTGACAGAGGGGCGGATGTTACTTTTATGAAGTTAGTGTGATTCAAAGGAAAGGCTTTCAGAAAGAGCTCCTGTGAAGGAATGCTGTTTTAAAGAAAGGATATAGTTTATTATATCCCTTGTATCTAGAGATACATATATATATATATATATATTAGTTTCTGTGAAGCCTAGCAAATGAATTCCAAATCCTGAAATTGGGGCATGTTTCTATTTCAGCAATGAGACCTAACTGCCAGAGGTTCGGTTCCTCTCCTTCCTTGCACAGAAATAGATCTGTAGTAAAGGGAGTTTCTTTGGATTTAAGTAGTATAATTCAGAGGAGAATCACAATGGCTTTTCTCTTTGGAAAATCCTCCTTTCAAAACATAACTATCAGAAGTCATGATTTAGACTGCCTGATGCTGTGCACTTAGTTTGGGAGTACTTTGTCTGATATACCCAGCAGATGGTATGATCATTTTAATTTTTCCTTTCATTTTACTTTCTATTCATCCTATTCACATGAACAATAGAAACGGGCTAATTATGTTTCACAGTCCAAACAACAGGAAAATGGGAAAAATCACTAGTGGATTTTTAAAACCTACCTCTAGCTTTAAAGTTTCCAGAGTTCTTTAGTAAATAAGCCAGGTTTTCTCTGTTAGCTCTTAGAAGCTGCTGTTAAACCACACTTGCTTCTTTGTGGAGCATAAAATATGCTTTCTAGCAAAGAGAAAACAGCAGTGGAATTGAAAGATGGGGAGGTGGGGGGGAAGAGCAGTTCCACCATCTAGTTGTAAGCCATCAGAGGAATATTGCTGCCCAAGTGTAATGATGAAGATGTTCAATAAAGCTGCAGTGTACAAATGTCAAAAAAAAAACACCACCCAAGCTTCTAGTTAAAGAAACAGAGTTTCTAAAATCTTGGAAGAAAGTGCAGCCGTGGCAGTCAGCCGGCGTTTTCTGCATGGAGACGTTAAAATGCCTGACACGTTTAAGCCACCTCAGGTAATTTTGAGAGCACCAGGCTGCGGAGCGATAATTCGTGTGGCAGGTCTGAAGTGAGCATCACCCCTGGCAGAGGGGCAGGCGAGCAGCTGGGAGCAGTGACCTCCTCGCTGAGCCTCTCCGCAGCCACCATCCAACGGGCTCCTGCAGATCAGAGCTTTGTAATTGGAATTGTTTCTCTGCTGCAAGTACACAAAGGTCCCCAGCTACAGCCTTCTGGCTTCACCGACAACTGGGCAGCGGGTTTTGTTTTCTAATGAATCCATCAGCGAGTGCTGCGCCAGGCCCTCGAGATCTATTTGTCTTTTCTCCCTGATGGTTTTCTGAATGGAAAGTGCTCAGGCATCACTTATCCAAACTTCTGAGTTCTGGTTTGAGGTCTACAAAGGTGACAATTACTTATAAAGTGCTTCTGGCTAATGTAAATTCAATTTTGCAGGTAGTTAGCTCATCCCAACTGCAACATATTCAGCAGTGTCTGCAGTGGCGGAAAGTACCCTGTGAATGAAGGGCATTTTTCAAGTGCTAGACTTAATGGACAGGGGAAGAAAAGATGGAGAAGTGCTGAACGCAGTGCTGCACTTTCCAGGGAAAACTGGGAACACAGATGTTTACTGTTACCTTTAATTATGCTCTGTCAGTTGTTAACATATATAAAATCAATTTCCTCCATCCTTAAATTTTGTAGGTGCATATGGTAATAGTGTTTTTTTTCTTTAAGCTCCAGCTCCTGAAAGCATATGACTAAGTGAGAATCTTGCTCTTCATTATTTAAATGAAAGGTAAATGGACAAAAAAAAAAAAAAAACCCAAGAAAAAAGGATAAAGAAAGATATTCTAGTTTCCATAGCTGCAGAATAAAAATCTAACAACTCCTCTCCCAAAAAGCTTAACAAATAAGAATTACATTTTTTTTTTTTTAATTTTGAAAGAAGCAAAAGAGAAGAAAAAAAATATCTCAACATTGTGCCAGTTTTATGTGGATTTTGTCTGTATTTTATACATATATATTAAAACTTATGTATGGTAAACTCGTTTACAGAAATTTATGCAGTGTATTCAGGGAGAGTCATCTGCAAGAGTGGTAGAAAAAAGGTCTGTTAAGAGTAACATCCAGTGATATATGGGCAGTTGGTGTTGAGAGGTGAGTAGGCAGAGAATATATGATTTCTGCTCTACTTTAAACTAAATCCCCCACCTTTTTGACAGGGACCACCTCCTTATCTCTCGCTCTCTGTCTCTCATAGCACAACGGAAAGCGCAAGAAACCCTTTTATGAGTATACAACACAGATTAATATATAAAATACAGACTGCTGATGGCCAACTGTTGCATACTGCCGATGAAGAATTGTATCTTCAGTGGCTTTGTGAAAGGTTAAATTTCTCATCTTGGCCAAAGAAGTTGGAACCCTAAAAGAGTTAAACAATAGGCCTTTTCCATCCCTCATTACAAAGATTACTCAATTTCAACTTTGCTTTCTATCCCAAATTACAAGCGTTACTCCATTTTAACTTAGGTCTATATGACAAAGTTGGCAATTTACATTGTCAGCTTAAATCAGCTCAGGATTGGACGTTGGTTTTAATCATGGAAGTAAAAAGTGTTCTTCTCTACATGCCTGTTTATAGACATCACAAGGCTTTTATGCAAATGTCAAGCTCAATATACATAGAAATGCAATAAATGGAAAATAAAAACTGAACTCTTTTGACAGCAAATGCCACACCAGCAAACTTCAGGCTGCCCTGAGATGATAATCTTCATTGCTTATCTTAACCGCTGTCAGAGCTGACTCTGCTGTCCTCCCTTCATGTCTAAACCGTCACTGAATCCTGTCATATCTTCCTTTTAAAGCACCCTTCTTGCTACAACTTAATGAAACTTAACTTAGCTCTCTTCAATTTTCTTGCCCCAACAGACGCAGCTTCACATGTCCTGGTCACTTCATTTCTCACCCAGAGCCTTCTCTTCCATGCAACATCAGTGAAAAATCTGGTCTCCCATGTCTGCACATTTTTGCATCCCCATCTATTCACTTCTTTCCAAGTTGCTTGTTAGATTTTTCACAGCAGAAAGCGAGTGCTACCAAATAATGCCAGGGATGACCACACTGGGAGGGCAAGTATATGTTTCGGAGCTTGCCCTCAAAACATTCCTGTTTCTACTTCCAGCTTCTTTCCTTGCTCTTTGTTTCTGCTGCTTGTTCCATCCCACTAGTACTCGTCGATAACGTATGTTCTTAGTAAGCTGAGAAGCCCTAGGAGAACAGAAAAGCAGCTTAAGCCTTTAGTACACACTGGGTTTTTCATGCTGTTTTCATTCTCTCTTCACTATTTTCCTGCTTTTACCCCTCATATTCCTTTTTACATTTCAAATCCTCCAGTCCCCTTTTCAAGAATTAACCCTCCAGTCCTCTTCCATGCTGCCTTAATGCCTGCAGCAGTCGCTGCTTCTCTGTATGGCTCGCAAACAAATGTCAGTGATGGATTTGGAGCTGCTCTGTAATTATTTATGAAAACTGTGCACTGTCCTCATTACTCAAATGTTTTCCATGTGACTTTATTTGGCTTAACACAGTAGGAGACTTTGGAAGAGCAGGAAGGAGCAGAGAGGATCCCTGGTGAAGACAGCCTCCTTGGGCTGGCTCTGTTCGGCTGCGTTTCGCAGGGGCACCGGTGCCACAGGCCTCAGCACAGCCAGCCAGGCTCACCCAGGATGGGGGGGGATCAAGTGAAGCTACCTACAGGGCAAATGATGATCTTCTAAGTTATCACTGTGCAGAAAAGAGAACAGCAGGAGAAAGCTTAATGAAATCATTAGCTGTCCTTCCTGCAGACAGCCTATGGACCAGTGCAACGGGCATGAATCATATTCCTGTGCTAAATGATAGCAGATAGTTAAACGACAGCACTTATTTGCTTATGTGATTGCAAGAGTACCAAGGTTTTGTACATCAATGAGATTATAGTTGTTCTAGGAAAAGACTTAAATAAGAGGGCTGGTTTTTTTCATATGAATAGGTAACGATTTTTGGGTGCAAGATAATATGATGGTGCAGTTACATTAATTTTTTCCACAGCCTAAGACTAGGTAAGAGAGCATGATAGGGCTACATAGAGATGGGCAACAAGATTTGTTTTCCCTTTTTTTTTAAAAGGGTAGAGGGGAAGCAAAAGAAGGACAAAAGAAGTTTTGCCCCTTTGCTGTTTCTCCATAGTAGTTCCTGCAAAGAAGCACATCATCAAAAGCATGAGTACCCAAGACTAACAGGGAAACCTAAGACTGTGTTGGAATGTTGAGAGTTTACTTTGTGGCATTATGAAATTTTGAAGTGAAACAATTAAAAAAGGGTTACTTAGTCACAGTAAAGTAAAATTGAATGTGTTGTCTATCCAGATGGTGAGAAAGCCATTTTGAAAAATCATCTTGACCAAAATCCACCAGCACAATGGGGCTCATCAGACCCTTCCAGAACAAGCAAAGATCCTATAGAAGACATCAACTCTCCAGAACAGTAAGTAGTGTACACCTTTATTACTGGTACAGAAAGAGGCATCTCTTGCTCTCGCAGGTATGCATGTGCTTGGGCTTGCACATTTTCTACTGTGTTAGCCATAAATTCCATCCTGGACACCATCTGCCTTGCTGATAAGATGTGAATTTTAATAATTGCATTTCATCAAAACCCATATTTCTCTTTCATGCATTTTTATGGGAAAACTGTCACTGTAAACCCTTTTAGCCAACACCAGCTACAGACAGCACCTGAACCATCAGCAACAGGTGTGAATGACACCTCCTGAAGCACCAGTGGGCAGCAACACTGTACTGTGATGACTCCCTGCCACCAGCTCATCATTTCCACCAAATTTACAGGCTATCAGGAGCACTAGATCCTAAGGTGCCCCAAAGGCAAACTAACATACTTCCTTTCTCTCATCAGAAGCATCCGTAACATGATGTCTAAAGTTTCTGTAGAGAGTTACAGGACAATCTGTGCCCAACCACCAAAGTATATTAAGGATGACTGTTGTCATAAGTCCATGTCCTTGCACACACCAGCCAGAGGAATCCATGGTGTACATAGCCATTCTGTTCTCTTTTGATCTTAAGCTAGCTGAGAAATAAAAACAGGCTGAGGGCTTTTCAACGTTGCCATAGCAGCTGGACCTGAGTTTTGGCATAGAAAGGCCTGCACCCAGTAGTTTCCCTTAGAAACAATGCTGTGCCTCCAAGGAGAGGATGGCACAAAGCACTTGCTAGATTCACGGAGGAGAAAGCCTTATGGTATCAGCTTTTCTCTCCAGGAACCTGTACAATCAACTCACGTATTACCTTCTGCTGGCTCAGCAGGACCTGCCAGGGGCCAGGGCTCAGGGAAGTACTGTGCTCATTTGTCCCTGGTTCAGCCCTGTCCCCTAGTTACAGGGGCACCACTTCATCAGGACCTGAGCTAATAGCTGTCAGACTCCTGATTTGTACACAGGCAACTTAAAAGCTTATTTGAAAATGGAATAAATTAAACAAATGAGTAGGCTGAGTCACATGTTCCATCAGTGACAGCAAACCTGATTTCACATAGCAGTTACTGGCTTGTATAACCTGGTGCAGGCAAACACAAGGGTTTCTAACTCTGTCCTTGCACTCAAAGAAAACTCCAGCCCAGACCTGCACAGGAGCCAATACACACACACACATGTGCACCAAACAAAGCCCCCAGTAGCTGAGATCTGGCTATTTCACAGAAGCAGGTCTCTCACTGAGAAAGCTCTTGTGACTTTATGGGGTCAGCAGTGTGCTTTAATGCATAGCTGGTTAGAGCTCTGTCTTTTTCCAGCACCATTTGTCAGAAATAATGTAGTGTGACTGCAGCCACATCTGCACGTGGCCACCTTATATTAAGAGAGGTGCTAAGAAAAACACAGATACACAAATAAGCCACTTGTCCCCATACAGATTTAATACAGAAAAAAAAAAAGAGAAAACAAACATTTGGTGGTAACAGAAGTTCTTCTAGGGCTAGTGATAACTGATGAGAAGACTAAGATTTCCTAAAGGTCTTGAAGAGTGAGTCAGTACAAATCTCAACAGTCACTGCTAAACCAAAACAGTGTTATTGAGCATTTGCACAGCTGTGACTGTGCCAGGTCCAAGGGTCAAGGTCTCCCCTCAGGATGCATTGGAAATTTGGGTACCAAAGCCACAGCAGCTAGGCACAGTGGACCTGCCAGAGAGACGAAGTGTAGCCATCTTCACGGCTAAGGTTTTGTGATTCCCTCTCTCTGAAAAGAGATTGCCTCTTCCCAAAATTTGTGCTCTTCAGGAATATCCTTCTGCATGCATGGGCTTTTTTTCAACTTGTCTGGCAGCACTTCTGACCTTCCATGGTTATTAAATACATTGTTTTTTCAAAAGAGGGGAAAAAAGTTCAAGACAAAAAGTAGTTTATGCCTTCCCTTTCTCAATTTCACTGCATATGTAGTGCATCTGGCAGCTAGTCACACAGTCTGCTGAACTGACTTCTTACTCAAGAACACAGATCTCAAGGATGTTAGTCTGAAAAAGATTTCCTCTTTGCCACAAACCTATGAAAGGAGGACATTAAGATAATTATTTGCCTGTAGAAATGTTAACTCTTTAATGACTATAGCAAAAAGAAACATCCCAGGTTCCTGTTACTGGCAGCACTAAGGAGAGTTGACATCTTCCGGTATGAAAGTTCTTGCAGAGTGCAGAAAAGAGCTTGACCTGGGTTTTTTTCATCCTTTCTTACCACTCGTGCTATATCTGACTGGCTGCAAATGCAATCCCTTATTCTGCCGTGGTGTCCAAAGTGAAGGCCCAGCAGTACACTTGCACTTTAGGCTCAGTAGTGCAGGAAGTTGTTCCACATTTGTTGGTGGGGTGATGTTTCTATAATCTCAACCAGAATGTGAAAAACATTTGGTTTGTGCTTGGCTCAGATTTAGAACCCTGCACATGGATTTTTTTTTTTTAATTATTATTATTATGTTACATTTTCTAAAAGGAAAATGTAGTGTGTATGACTGTAAACCAGCCTTAGATCATGAATATAGATGTGAAGTGCTGCAGTTAAACCCCGAGCCGTGAATGAGGGTTGGCATATGGATGATGTCCACAACCAGGCAAGAAAGACCCTCCTGACTGCTCTTTACCCAGACTCTGGCCAGCCTTGGGTGGGAATTGATGAGGAGATCACCACCAGGTGCTCCTGCCTTCCACACTAACTTAGAGGTGGGGCAAGAACCCACCTCTATAAGAGCTGACTGTACTTGCAGTGGGGTTGGCAGGTTTGTCTATGTAGTGCATATGTTTTGTGGGGATTGTGGCTCTTGGAAAGGCTCCCTGACTGTGCATAGCAATTGGAGTTCCCAGGGTGGCAGGGATAAAGATGAGTTTCTCTTTGAGAAAATTCTACATAATTGGACTCCTCGTCTGGCCATGGCTCCTTGGCCAGCTTGCTTCCTTCTATACATCCTGTCTCATGAGTGAGTGTGTTGACTTGTTCCTCCCTCTAGTGGTTTGACACCTTGGATCTCTGATATGTGATGTAAGAACAGAGGGAGGAGTTTGGTTGTTGGTTTGCCTGTTGATGATACTATCCTATGCTGGGCAAGCGGTCAGCAGAAGAACATACCTCACAATTCCCTTTGCCCCTTACTCCCTTTCATGATGAGCAGGACCTTGTAGGTTATCCATAGTGCCATGTAAAATTTGCTATACCCAGTCAGACATGAGGAGCAAAAGGTGGTGCCAACTGGTTTCTCTCCTGTTCACACTGGCTAGACGCTGTAAGTTAACAGGTGACGTGCAGGAAGTAAAGCAGTGCTGGTGCACGGGCTCAAGCCCCGCACTCGGATTTTTCCATGGTGCCTACTGGTATAATCCCTGGCACAGCTCTATCAGTTTGTGCTCTCCTGGGTAATGCTCAGGCACACTCTGGTGTTCAAAGCCCCTGTTTGAGGGGAGCTTAGCTGCACGAATGGAAGCTGCACCATACCAGTTCATCTCAGGTCCAGAAAGCAGCGTAAACCAGTTTAGAATAGATATAATAGTTCATTTCCCAGGAGACTGGGGTGTCTCTCACACCAAGTCAACTCATTCCTGCGAGGCAGTCCTGCTTACTCATCTGAAGATCACATCAGTCAGCTTACCTGCATGATGCCCACATGAATACATTCAGTGGAATATCTTCCGTGACCCTTAAAGACATTATTCTATTCACTTTCATTTCTGCATAACGTTGTCTCATCTCATCAGTGACCTACATTCGGTGAATTAGTTTTTGGCACTGTTAAAATTTATACTATTCTCACTTTGACAGCAATAACATGTTACAGTCTCCCAGATCTCTGGGTGAAGGTGATGATAGGTTTCTGCAGGACCCCACTAAAACCTGCCTTTTTGCTAGACTATTTCCTATATGTAGTCATTTTTGTAACCTTTAAAACAGCTAATCGCTGTGTAACTCATAATAGAAGCCATCTTGGTGATTTTCTTTTTTTTTTTGAGCTAAAGCTCTGCTTTTATCAGCAGAGAAAAGACAGTCAAATACCCTGCTGGAGCCAGTTACGTCATTTTTAGTAACCAAAATTTCTCTTCAAAAAAGTTGGTTGTGACTGGATTATTGCATTACAGCCATATGCCTCAACATGAATATGCCTCTGCTACTGAGGTTCTTCACTGACAGTGGTTCATATTAGTCTATCTGTGATCCTACTTGAATCTGTTGTTAAAGTAAGGTGGATTTAGAATGGTTAGTTTACTTGTTGTACAATGTCTTCCTTTATCATAGCCTTTTAGAAATTCTCCAGCCTCCCAGTAATTGCTAAAAATCAATATGAATGGGCTGAAGAACTGACAGAAATGATCGCTGTCTGCTTAGATGCAGTTTACATATGCCTGCAGATCTTCAGATGTTTGACTGTAGCAGCCATTGTTTCGGTCCCCCCACTTACCAATGGATCTCAGAAATGCTTTTCCATAGCAGAATCAAAATATTTTTCAAAAGCCTTTGCCCACCCTGTAGTGCTGTGCATTCCCATGTGCATTGCACTGTGTTCCTATGTGCACTGACATTGGAAGTCAAACTTTTACCTGATTTTATCCATCCCTAACAAGTGGCATTTCTGTATGGAGCTGGGGATATATGCCCTGTTCTAACACAGTACCCTGATGGCTGCTGTGTGTGCAGCACCATCATTGCTTTCTATCTTCTTCAGTAGTTGTCTATGATTCTATGATTCTAAAACCACTAATAATAACCATTCACCTCCTCCTGATATACTTGACCATATAGATGCTTTGACATATCTATATTGTATGGACAGATCAAAACAAATTCATAGAATCATAGGATCATAGAATGGGTTGAGTTGAGAGACACCTTTAAAGTCATCCAGTCTAACCTCCCTGCAACGCACAGGGACATCTTCAATTAGATCAGTTTGCTCAGAGCCCTGTCCAGCCTGACCTTGAACGTTTCCAGGGATGGGGCTTCTACCACCTCTCTGGGGAACCTGTGCCAGTGTTTCACTACTCTCATTGTGAAAAATTTCTTCCTTATATCTAGACTAAATCTGTCCTCTTTTAGTTTTTAGGACCCCTTGTCCTATCACTACAGGCCCCACTAAAACTCCCCTTTAAATACTGAAAGGCCACAATAAGGTCTTTCTGGAGCCTTCTCTTTTCTGGGCTGAACAACCCCAACTCTCTCAGCCTGTACTCATGGGAGAGGTGTTCCAGCCCTCTGATCATTTTTGTGTCTCTCCTCTGGACCTGCTCAAGAAGGTCCATGTCTTTCTTATGATAAGGGTCCCAGAGCTGGATACTACTCCAGGTGGGAGTGGAGGGGCAGAATCACCTCTCTTGACCTGCTGGCCATGCTTCTCTCTATGCAGCCCAGGATACGGTTGGCTTTCTGGTCGGTGAGCACACATTGCCGGCTCCTGTCCAGCTTTCATCCACCGGTACACCCAAGTCCTTTTCTGCAGGTCTGCTCTCAGTTTCTTCACCCCCTAGCCTGTACGAATAGCAGAGGTTGCCCCCAAAGCACTGACAAAATGTGGCAGGGGTGCAGGGTAGGGAAAAAACACTGACAGTGGAGAAAAAAAAAAACTACAGTGAGGCAAGGTACGAGATTTACTTCCAGTTAAGGAGAAAATAGCACTTTTGTTTTGATTTTGTTATGTTTTGTTTTTCCCTCAGAAGAGTTTTGCCCAAACTCTTTATTGTGTGCAGGTCTGCAGGCTGTAGTCCTCTGCCCAATTCCAGGAACCAAGTTTTCACGTGAAAGTTAACTTTAAGTATAGTTAAAGCAAAATTTGCCACCCACTGCAGCCACCGTTGGCATAGCCAAATAAACATGCTTTGTCCATGGTATGGATAACAAATGGGTAAAAAAAAAATCCCAGTCACTTGATTATGCAACTGGATTCTCTTGGAATAGCTTAAAAAAAGCTCTTTAATGAGGAGTCTGTAACAGTTGAACAAAGTAAGCATTTCCACTGGTGGGAAAACAAGCACAGACAATTCTGCATTTGACCCTGCGGCGACAGACAGAATGACAATCCGCAGTGTCAGGCTCATAAGGATTCAGCACGTGGAAGCAGGGAGCCACGCCACCTCTGCACTCCTTGGGAATGAGGCAGGAGTTCATTGATAGCACCAGAAAGAGCTGGGCACAGGAGCAAACACAGTGAATGGATTTTGTGTAGTCCCAGGAGTGCATTGCCAGCACTACCATCATCAACGCTGGATTAATATTGCATCAAATTTTTAAAAGCAGCTGGGGGGAAAGGGAAGGATGGGAAAGAGATTTCCAGCCAGATAGGCTACAACTGTTTCCACCATATCTCTGTACAAACAAGCCTTAGTTTGTAGTAAAGAAACTAAAGAGAAGCAGCATTCCATTTTGTTCTGTTTGAACTTGAAAGCTATGCTGCTTTGTCCCTGAGCAGGGCAATGGATGCCTTGGTAGCTGTCTCTGCTTCCTAACACAAAGCAAAAAAGAAATGAAATGCTTGAATCAGAAAAGCTGTCCAAAGGCAAGCTTTCAAAGATACGCTTCTAAAGGCCTGTCTATGCAGTCATTACATCAGATAACAGGGAAATACAAATTTAAAACTCTATTGTACTAATACAATGCTTTTTATGGACATTTTTCTTCTGGAATCAAAAAGCTGGTCTTTGCTTGAGCTCTCTCACTTTGATATCTGTCTTCTCTTGAAAAAGTTGCTCTGTGTTTCAAGAGTGAATGTCTCCAAATGCAGAAGCAATCCTTTTGTGATAATGTCTTAATCCCTGGAAACCTCAGCTGGATTTTATTTTTATATAAGGTGCCAGTATATCCTCAGCATAGGGGTAGCAGAGCCCATGTCCCATGGCACCATGCTCTCCATGGAGAGGGGTTAGCTGGGCTACCTATGAGCATAGTTTAGTGTTCCTTGAAAAACAAACAAACCAACTGAAATATAGACCCACACCAGTTGTGACAATGTTAATCTGCTTGGAAAATTAGACACAGGGTGTTGGATTCCTAAATACTGAATTTTAGGCTAGGTAATAGGTTAGTCTGCTTATTTAGCACTAGCTCAGTCCCACAACACAGACTGTGGGAACCTGACAACATTCAGCACCTCAAAAGCACAGATCTGAACTGCAAAGAGGAAGTCCTTGGAAAAAGACGCCAGTCCCAATTCCTTCCCTGCCTCCATGCACCTGTGTCTGCCTTAGCTGGAGTTGCAAAAATGTCATCCTGAGTGCCTTGTGCCAAGTGATGCATGGCTTAAAGCTCAGCCTGTGACCTCGTGCATGTCTGTGCAGTTAGCCAGGGCTCTGCATGCAATAGCTCACTGCGCTGCTACGCTGTATGCCCTCACTGCACACTTCCAATATCAGCAGTCTAACAATTACGCTGAAAGTGCCTGGGAATTTCAGAAAGTTGTAGGATGCTGCGAACGCACCCTTAGATTCCATTGTCTTGTCTAGCCTGTCAGAAAAATTCCCCAAGGGGAAATAACACCACGGTGGCACAGCTCAACAGCAGCAAGCGTGATGCTCTTGGCATTAACCCTCTCCATCACAGCAGTAGGCGCAGAAAATACCCTTGCAGCAGCCCACAAACATATCAAGCATGTAATGTGTTACATTTTCTTCTTGGCTAACGCTCCTCTTTCTGTCTCTCTCTCAGCATACAGCGTCGGCTGTCCTTGCAGCTGCCCATTCTTCATCATGCCTACTTGCCATCCATAGGAGGAGTTGATGCGAGCTGTGCCAGCCCGTGCGTAAGCCCCAGTGCCAGTCCTCGGCACAGACACGTGCCCCCTTCCTTCCGAGTAATGGTTTCGGGGCTGTAGGAAAGGGAGATCAGTGCTTCCTGAACTGCTTTTAAGTACTCAATGACTGGACTAAACATCTGACCTAGAACTCTGCTACAAACATAAAATGTTGGCTCTTACCGCAGAGGAACTGAGGCCATCATCACAGGAGTGCTCGTGTAACTCGTGTGGGAAGGCAAAGGAGAAGGACACAAGGAGTTTGATCTGTAGCCTTATTCATGGAGTTTTTATTTCTTCACGTAGAAGTCACTGAAAAACATTTCTTCCCAAAATTCTGCTAGCAACAAGGAGGCTGGGAAATACGGATCTTGCAAAAAAGACGCTTGGAAAAAAAAACCAACCAACTCAAATGTCACTGAGTTTTATGTGGCTGTTGAGAACATGCAATTCTATACTGTATCTGTGTAAGGAAAATACCATGGTTGAGCTATACCATATTTATTGAAATAGATACACTCATTTTTACGAGAGTTGTGTTAAATTGCTGGAAACATTCTGCACTGGTTAGCCTTGCTTGTTTTCATTACAGGGATGATGTTCGATAGGAAAGGAGGGTTATGAGAAATGTTTCCTCAGGTGTCATTGAGACTCTGCAGTGCTGTGACCAGGATCACCTCTGACTTGCAGCTGTACGTGAAACCCAAGCAAAGGCTGAAGCTCCAGCTCCGAGCTGTCACCAGCTGGAGAGCTTCTGGTTGGAAGTGGAGCACGTCACCCTTCTGCAGGGGTGATGGTAGTGACGGATGGCCATCTGCAGCTTCATTTTAGAAAAGTTTCTGCACCTATTTCAGAACAACCACCACCAATCATAATGCACTACACTGTCTGGAAACGTCCTAGGGCTGATAAGTCAAGAAGCTGAGGGCAGATGGGTAGGAAAGCCTTAATGTCACAGGATGGATCATTTTTCATAGTTTGTTTGAATCATGTCACACATAATTACAGTAAAATTAATTTAGTGGACCTGGGTGGGAGGGGTTCGGGCACAGCACTTTGCTGCTGCAGGCGAGGCCTGCAGAGCACATAGATGTGAATATACACTGCATTTGCTTTGTACCTGCGTGTGTGACAGTTGTAGCAGATAATAGAGAGGACAAATCGAATTTACCAATAGAATATTTTACCTGAATCCTAAAAGGACTGTGAAAAAAACAGTGGTTTTTATACTTTAGCTCCATCCCCTGAACCAAAGTAGTTAGGAGTGAAGATAGTGGCACACCATCTGGGCCAGCTCTGGAGCCAGGCCCTCAGGCACAGGTGAGACACGCAGGCAGCTTCTTTTTCCAGGGGACTGGAAATGTGACATCTCACTGCTGGAGCTGTTTGCTAAGGGCAGGGAGGGTAAAAACACACGAAGCACCCACTGGGCTCTCAGTTGTCTTTGACCAGCACCTGTGCATGTCAGACCAAACCTTTGGAATGACACTCCTGCAGAGGTTTACAAATCAGCAATGGCTGAAGCACAGCTGAAGAGGTTCATTAGCTGAGGGACTTAACTGCAGCTTTGACAAGCTAGCATAACTCTCCATTAAAAATAAAACACCTCATAGTGGCCAAAACCAATATGAATATGTATCCGAATCTTACAATCGGGAGCATCACAAAATATTTCACTTGGCACATACAGTAAGAGAGGTTATGGAAATATCTGTAGCTTTTAGAACAAAAACATGTAAGTATAAACACAGATAAAATAGAACTCATTACTCTGTTTAAGCACTAAACACTGACGTTGTCACTCAATGTGTGTTGACAGTATTCTCTTGCTTTATTAATATCATCAGGGCCTGGTTTATTTTAAAAGGAATGTTAATTTTTAAAAAGAGAAAATTACAATATTGTATATAATGTATACACAAAGATCTCTGTAGAAATATTATTCCAACTTAGCAGGAAAAGAAAAATTCAGAAGTATCGGACCATTGGAGGTGAGTGTGTGTGTGTCTGTAACTTCGTGAATACTGACTGTGTGATGTTTATTAGGTTTAAACCATGCAGTACATTCTTTGTCTCAATGATACTGTAGTTTCTCCCATAACATTTTTTTTTTACTTTACTGCAGATAACAAGACCAACCAAGTGAATATAGCTATTTAATGTTTCTGTTCTTTTATACTGCAGCAAAAATGTACTGTAAATTTATGAAGAGGCTGTGCCCCAATGGCATTTTCCAATGATGTTAGTGCACAAATGCTTTAAACTAGACTGGAACTGCCAGAATAAAATGTAAATGAAGAATTTCTTGTATAACCTTATACTGCATGAGATCAATTTTTAATAAATTGTTGCAAATCTGTTTTTATGAATAAAATATATAAAACATAGCTTTTTGATTCATTGCCCTCTTCCCCCACAGCAAAAACAGTTTTAATGTTTGTATGCATGTATGTATATACAGACACATATATAAAGGCCTACCTGGAGAAGGAGGAATCTTCTTACAATACCACATTGTAATAAAAAGTCAAAATACACATCCTAGTAGTTGCAGGGTTCACATCTAGAGAAAAGAGGTAGATGAGCTTCTGCCCTGAAATACAGTTACTGCAGTACTCATGAGTGAAGCCTAAGCCCTTTTTCAAATGGGAAAATAATCAAAAATATGCTGAATATTTACACCCAAACCACAGTTAATATATGTGCTATTCTCTCTTACACCACAGTGAGTGTGAATTTAGGAGAAAAAGATTTTACTGTTTCATACAAATTACTAATGTTGAGCCAGTTTTCTAGCTCTATAGTAAAAATCTCTCCTTCAGCAAAGGAGGAGTTTCTAAGAATAATCACTGATTGTTTTCTGAAGGCAAACACTAATCATCTCCATCCAGTTTCATACAGGTGGTGGGTTTTGTGTCCTAAACCAGGTTCTTCTGCATGGCAGAAGAGGAGGAGGGTGGGACTGTAGTGCAATGAGCCAGCTAGAGGAATGAGCATTTTTAGTTGTTTACTTTTCAACAGGAGCTCCTTAAGCCAGCACAAAATGACACAAAGCCCAAGATGAGGGAATTCAGAGCCACCACAAATGTGTTTTCTGTAGGATTCTGATACAGCTTAGGAGTCCCACTGAATACATGCAAAAGAGAAAACACCAATGAGGAGCTGACACCACAGATTGTGAATCTCAGTGCACAATACCAGATGGCAGGATAAACAAACAGATACATCAGAGCTCATTGAAGAAAGGAAAAAAAAGTCTAGAACAACTTTATTGTGAAACCAGTATTCAACTAGAAATTGTAGGAGGATGTGAACAACTTGCTCAAGAATAATAGGAAACTAGAACAAAGCAAAACATTGCCTTAAGAAGTCAAGAAAAAAAATAAGTTGGAGATGTCAGGGGAACAGGTTTACTTTAAACTGATGAGTTTCCACAATCACAGCAAATATGCTTCCTATAAAATAATAACATTGCTATTGAATCCATGGAAGCTTACTGAAGTTGCAGCACTTCTTTTGAATAATTAATAAATCAAGAATGGTAAGGGAAGAGCAAGAGAGACTTTTTTTTTCCAGTTTTCTCTTTCTTTTAATAGGTTCATAATAAAATCTTTCCTGGTCTTTTCAGAACTTTTTTTTTCTTTACAAATCTCCATGTGGTGTGCATGTTCTCCCCAGGGCTGGATTCATGTTCCTGTCCCTTTCTGCTCAGGCTTGCTTAGCTGCTGGAAGCCAGTCCCAGCACTTCCACAGCAGCCTGTGGCTATCACAGGGATTTACTGTGCTCTCATAGCACAGCCCAAAGGACGGCCAGTTGCACTGTTCAGGGAACCGGCTCTCCCTGTTGCTGGCTGGTTTGACAGGGGTTTTCTCCTCGCTGCCTGAGAAGACTGACAGATTTATTACAGTGGCTCAAACATCATGACTTTTAACTGAGTTCTGTCCTCAGTTACTGGCTGCCTTTTCTGTCTATTGAGATGGTGAATGGTACTTATGGCCATTACTTTAATATACACGACTATTATTCACAAGTGCACTTTCAAAAGCCTCTTGCCTGTTGAGCTGATCAGCAACCTGCCAGTGCACTACTGGGGATATCACTACTCACTACACAGCATTGCAGAGGAGCAACAGAGGGTCTGGGGCTGCACTGGGAGAGGTGGGGAGGAGATGGCCAGAGCCTGGCAAGGGCAGCCCTGGGTGATGGCACCATCATGTCAGTGTTCCCACAGACCTCTCCTACCTGCAGACATTCTGAGCCACTAGCTTTGCCTACTGCAACTGGTTTAAACGTGTGGTGAAGAGATGCTGAAGTGGGTGAAGGGGAGTGCTGAAGAGCGAAGGCCAGGCAGGAGGAGGGGGGAGTAGAGGCATCTCCAATCACTGAGCATTCACCACCCCCAAGAAAGTGGCTGGTACTGGGGCCATCAGAGCCAAACATCACACAAGCATTTAAACAAATTACTGAATTTTGGAAGCTAAATTCAGTAGAGGTCAAATCAGTCTGAGAACAGAGCAGGCTGTGGGAGTGCCAGCTGCAGGTACGAGCAGCAAGCAGGCTCTGGGCTGGCTCACTGGCAGTATAGCAGAAAGGAGTTCAGAAGACCTTGAGGTTCAGGAGAAAGGACAGGTATCTTCATGTGTCGGCAAACACAGGCTGTGACTAGAACCAAGGATTTTTATCTCCTCACAAGAGGTTATGCAGCAGGAACCCTGCATCCACATGCACCGGGTGCAACTTCAGCCAAGAAAAATACCAACTATACTTACAATCTACAGCTATACCTACTACTGCAGTCAGCAGTGTGGGATGCCTGCTTGAGCATGGGTGTTTCCACCCAACAGACCTGAAGTCATCCATTCTGGCAAGTCAATTTGCCTGGAAAATAATGTGTGTGTGTTGCAGAGAATGCTGGCAGGACACTGAACAAGCAGCCCAGCATTAACAGCCTGGAAAACACCGCGAGGGCCAAGGCATAGACATCCATGCTACCTCCTGCTTTGGGGATTTGTTAGGCATCTAAAAGCAAAATCCATTCTAAGGACATACACACACAAGGCATCCCCAGCTCAGAATTAATTCTCCCTGGCCCTGGCCTGCTCTGCCACTCAGTGCAAAACCCTGAGCCTGTGCAGCTGAACATCACCTGCTTGTCTAGGCCTACGGAGAACGGAGCCTGAAGCAGAAATAAAAAATTGGAGAAGAGTAGATAGGAAATGTGTGTGGCTTTGTACTCATTGAGTGTTCTGCTGCATTGTTATGTAAATGGCTCCTACTCTACCCTGTCTAAAGGTACCCCAGTATTTCCAAACACCAGAGACCCCTCCCAGCAGACAGAGGGACAGAGCCATCTGTTCTACAGGAGGAACCTCACACCCTTGCCAAATAAGCTAGCAGATATCATAATTAGTCCACATTATTGAGTAGGCAATCAACTGGTGGTACAAACCAGCACAAACCTTGTAAGAAGAAAGTGTTCCTCTCCAGCATATGAACATTTCTCTTTGGGAAACTTTGTCTTCCTATCACTTTGCACACATCTGTACAACCCGCTCAGCACAGCTCTTGCTATCCCAGAGAACAAAACTGGTCCTCCAACCAGAGAAACCCTTCACTTTTTCCTCTAC